TTCAAAAATGGGCAAGGGATATGAACAGACACTTTACAAAAGAAGACATACATGAGGCCAACAAACATATGAAAAAATGCTCATCATCACTGGTCATTAGGGAGATGCAAATCAAAACCATATTGAGATACCATCTCACGCCAGTTTGAATGGCGATCATTAAAAAATCTGGAGACAACAGATGCCGGAGAGGATGTGGAGAAATAGGAACACTTTTACACTGCTGGTGGGAGTGTAAATTAGTTCAACCATTGTGGAAGACAGTGTGGCGATTCCTCAAGGCCTTAGAAATAGAAATTCCATTTGACCCAGCAATCCTATTACTGGGTATATATCCAAAGGACTATAAATCGGTCTATTATAAGGACACATGCACACGAATGTTCATTGCAGCACTGTTTACTATAGCAAAGACCTGGAACCATCCCAAATGCCCATTGATGATAGACTGGACTGGGAAAATGTGGCACATATACACCATGGAATATTATGCAGCAGTCAAAATGATGAGTTTGTGTCGTTTGTAGGGACATGGATAAATCTGGAGAACATCATTCTCAGCAAACTGACACAAGAACAGAAAATGAAATACTGCATATTCTCACTTATAGGTGGGTGATGAAAAATGAGAACACATGGACACAGGGAAGGGAGTACTACACACTGGGGTCTATTGGGGTAAATAGGGGAGGGACAGTAGCGGGGAGAGCTGGGGAGGGATAGCCTGGGGAGAAATGCCGAATGTGGGTGAAGGGGAGGAAGGCAGCAAAACACACTGCCATGTGTGTACCTACGCAACTGTCTTGCATGCTCTGCTCATGTACCCCAAAACCTAAAATCCAATAAAAAATTAAAAAAAAAACACACTGCCACGTGTGTACCTATGCAACTATCTTGCATGTTCTGCACATGTACCCCAAAACCTAGAATGCAATAATAAAAAAAGATATATACATCCACCCTATACTATCCTATAGCAATTATTCAGTAGGGTGGGTGAAAATTAGTTTAATGGAAAATTCTTTACAGCTGTGTTGATATTTCCTCATCAGTCAATTATCCCTTTAAATCTGGTATGAAGTCTTAGAGCGGAATTGGGAGAAACTTCCATGTTACAAATCCAGTTCCTTTACCTTACATAACGCTTACCACTCATCCTGAATCAAGGCTTTCAGGATATCCTATTAATCCTCTTACCAAATTGGTTTATTTCTCTCCAAACATCTTTGGTCCTTTGGCACCTCCATGGTTTTGGGTTTTTTTCCCCCTACTTCATTAACTTTGTCCGAAATACCTGACTTTCCTATCTTCAGCTAATCCAATCCTAGCCAGTCTTCTAAATCCAGTTCACATCCAGTCTCCAGGGAGCCATCCTAGACCATTATCTCTCACTGTCTTCTGACATCACCGCTTTGCCAACACCACACTCATTGGTGTAACGGTACTTCTGCGATTATTTGTTGACTTTGCATTACTTATTCCATAACTTCATTTTTCATTTTAACTCCCTAAGTGAAAAATAAATACTTTGAGAACAGAAGCCACACTATGTTAGAATTGAGCATAACCTTTTGTACAGAGCTGATATTCAAATATTTTTTAGTTGGCTAAAATACATGAGACGTAAAAATGGAAAGTGTAAAGTTTTACTTCAGCATGAATAGCAGCACAATCTGCCTGATTTCTCTATTAAAACAGAAGACATTTCTGAAAAAGCTCAAGATAAATTAAACTACTGGCATAAATTTTTCCCCTACAGAAGTTCATTCTATTTTGAAAAACATTTTGAATGGTAAAAGAATTATACAAATAAACTATCTCAGAATTTAAGCACGTGATTATTACAATCAGCTATATTAAATAATAGTGCTTGTACTTTAATCAATAAACTATTTAACAAATTATTCATTGAGTTCCCGATTTGTATACAAGGAGTCACAATAAGATCTACCAGGAAGAGAGATGAATAAAAGACTAGTCAACTCTTCAACATCCAACAGTTTAATGGAAGAGACAGACTTAAAAACACTTCACAAGCAGAATTTAAATACAGAACACAATATAGCTAACCTACTGAGTACCATGTGTGACTGATTTCCATTGGTAGGGCTCAGGAACCATCACCAAAAATAAAAATACAAACAAAAAGATAACATTTGAATGAGGTGGGAAAAATAATTACAACTTTGTAGACCAAGCTGGCAGAATGGGATTCTGGGCTGTATGATCAGAAAGAGCAAAAGGCAGAGATAGGAAAATTTACTCTCACCCCATATCTTTAGCTTCTCTTAGTAGGTGACCTCACCTGCTAGCTCACAGGAAAAAGTAAAAGGCATTCCTCTCCTATATCTCATAACCGTATGACATTCCTTTCTCCTTTCCTTCTCTCTCAATTGTCCCCATTCTTTCCCACAGCTAACTTTCCCACATTGTTCAGGACCCTCTTGCTGCTTGTCTCCTACCAGACCCTGCTCCACTGCTCATGCTCTCCCTCTTCCTGCTCTTTGTGGCCACATTTTTGAAATAATGGTCTCTAGATCTTATCTCTACTTCATCTCTAATTCACTACCTAGCTGGATAAGTTTGTCTCTATATCCTACAAAATGTGTTCTTTTTATTCAGTAAAATCAAGTGAAATAATGATGTTACTTTCTGATTTCACACTTTCTTAGTTTTAAAATAAGTTAACCACTATTTCTTCTTAAAATGTATTGGCTATATTCAGGAAACGGAATATATAGTCTCTGACTAGGATTTCTCATGTCTAAAAAGTAAATTATTAAACAGCTGAGACAGCATTTTCAGTAAAGAGCCTGTTATTGTAGTGATCAATGAGAATCCTGAACCTTAAACATGCTGTTCTGTCAGTGTACCTTTTGCTAACTTAGAACTTGTTCTAATTCTGTAGATGAGAAGAGGTAGGGTGTGTAACTCATCTTCCTCAACAATACAAAGGTGGTACTTTTAAGGAAATCATTTCATATAAGCTAGGGTCCTCAATCTTTTTCAGAAGACTGGAGTAAGTTAAGGTCTCACCGTATACTGACATACTTGAAAAGATTGGCCCTGATTCATATTCTGCTTCTCTGGCAGTTTCATTTACTGCAGGGTAAATAATGGCTAAGGTGGTTTCTCCTCTTACATAGAATAAATAGCTAGAATTCTCCACAACTTACTTTGTTCATCTTTCTTGCCTTCAAAGCCACATTTATCAGTATCCATAAACCACCTACACTGATTTCAAAACTGCAACAAACCACTCCTATGTTATATATAAACCTAAGTCTTCTCAGGAACAGTGAGCGTAATGGATACTATCCTATAACTGTTGAGTAATGGAGGGATCTCAGTTCATCTTTTCAGATTTTCTCTGCAATGAACACTTCAGAAGTCCATTGAATAATCCAACGACTCCCTTTATCTTTTAAAAATAAATTTATCTCATACATACTCCTCCTTTTTAAAATGACTCTCCTTAGGGAACGTTGTATCGTAAACTTCTATCCACCTAAGAAACACAGTTTACAGATCTACCAAATGTATTGAATATTGCAGAAATTTCATAAATACCTGTCAATAGGCTGATTTATATTTAACAATATTATTAATAGTCCCAAAAAGGCCATCAAGCAAATGTTTTGACTAAAGATCAAATAGAAAACTTCAGACCCAGTAACATTTGTAGGGGCTAGGGCACGATTACAAATAGAGACCCATGTCCCCTGTTTACATATTTGAAAGTTACAAGTCCAGTTGAACTAGTAAATAAAATATGGTCTCATCTTCCAATCTTGACAAATACACCTTTCACCAGCTGTAGGTACATACAGGTTCAAATTTAGAATTCTTAGACTCCTTGAAGTTCCATGCCATATTGTGGTGACACTGGGGCTAGCCTACTCCCTTCTCTTTTTGTTCCCCAGTTTTGTCAAGACCTTGAGGGGCCTTGCACTCAAGTGTGGACATCCTGTCTACCACAAACTGCTACCTCTTTGCCACCTCTCAGGCCTAAAAACATACTCACTGGTTTTATCTAAGGACTGATCCAGGAAAAAGGCCAATGAAGACTTTGGAAGCAGATTCTAAGCAGCTTGGGGGCAGGAAATTCCAGAGTTTTGGTAGGGGGAGGATGAAGTGGGAGAGAGGGAGGACTTGGGCTGATCACATCCCCTTGGCCCCTCAGATCCTTCACCCTATGGGGAAGTGTGAACAAAAAAGGGCCTTCTAATTAATTCATGGGTTCTGATACAGGACTTCTCTTGCCCAGGACTAAAAGCAATGCTGGATAATTTACCAAATGGAGAATTTACCAGATCAGTCACGTTACTGTTAATATACTAGTTGAAACATAATATGTAGAAAGATTAAGTAGGTAAGTAAAACCCAAAATTCCAATCTCTAATCACATTAATTCCTCCAACATCTATAATCAAAGGGTCTAATATTTATGTGGATCTACTCTATAGACTAAATCAAGACTCCATGCTGTTTTCGCAATTCATACAAATTTACAGAATTCTAGTCATATGCTAGATGGAGCTGGAAAAAAAACAAGAAGCAGAAGGAAGAGAGAAAGAACACAGAGTATCAAAGACCAGATCAGACATGCAGACATAAGGGAAAGCATTTTCCTCCTGTTCAGTTGCTTATGTGGCAAAGCTTAAGGCACCATGATTAACCATCTGATTAAAGCCGCTAGTATCACAGCTTGCTCTCGCTAATGCAGATTCATGAAGTTTACTCACTGGCCTCCGAATGCCCCCATCCTAGCCACTGTGTTACAGGGTAGGTCAAGCTGAACTCTGTCAGCACTTAAGTGGATACTGATAATAGCTCTCCCTATATTAGAATCTCTTACCTCAACATAATTTGCTATGCGGCAATTTTCACTCACTTAGCAAGAAAATTATTCTGTTAATTTGAAAAAACTAATAAATACATATACATACTCCACAGGAAGGGAAGTATTTCAACTGGAAATATTATTTATGTGTACTTACTGAGATTGTACCATTGTCTAGACCTATGGACAGTCTTCTTGTTTCCGGGTTAAAAGACATGCATGAATATGGAGCTGAAAGAAATAAACATGTTGATGAAATTAACAAAACCATGATTCTCATCGATTCAGGCGTGCCCAACTAGCTAAAAGTGTGGAGCTGTATTTTCCCACTATCTCCTAGAAAACATTTCATTTAACACCCACTCACCAAAAAATAAAAACAGTAATTTTACAGCCACCCCATAGTTGTTGAGTTATCCTTTTAATGAATATAACAAGATATTCTCAAACTGGACAAGTTCCAAGGGGCTTGGTCTTGGCTGGTTCTGTCAGTATGGAGTCTAAATTTGCTTGACTAGATTAAGAATATTTTGTGCTGTGTAATGTTTCTCTTTGTACCACTCCAATTCCATCTTAAATAGAAATAACCTATCCTTTCTGAACTAGACAAAAAAAAAGAAATATCTTATTATCCCTCCACCCTCCCCACCCACATACAGACACATACACATAGGAGTACAGAGTCTATTTTTTGATTCAGAATTGATTTGGGGTGTGTGAATTAACAGGAATTTTTTTGCTCTTGGCCTTTGAGGGTATGCTGGAGTTTGCTGATTAAAAATGGCTGAGGTGGATTTGTCTCAATCTAAAAAAGAACCAACTCATCATAGGGCTAGACACTGTAGGAAAGAGACCAGGTGAGTCAGTACACCCAGGACTGATCTGGGTCTCCCTGTTCTGCAAGACTGACTGCCTGAGGACACCTGGGCCTAAGTAAATTAGGTATGCTTGGAAGCCATGTGTGGTCAACAAGTGCTTACTACACATTCAGCTCCTATGCCCCTGCCTTCTCAATCTATGTTTGCTCATGAAAATGGAGTCGTTTGACAATTTACCCAATACTGAAATATTTGATAGTGATTCTAAGGAGTTTAACACAGTTTTTATATGTCTCCCTTCATATTCACAAAAGCTACATAGATCATGAACTACCTATTACCATAATCACAGTCAGCATCAAATATTTTTATTCCTACTTTTCACAGTTATGATTAGATGTTTTACCCAAGGTAACATAGGAAACAGTTGAAAAAGATTCAAAGACATCATTCAAACGTACAGTTCCATTTTCAAACAACCGACTTAGATTATTTTTAAACTAGAAAAGAACTTCAAGTTCTACTGACAGCCACTTCACAAACATATCACTTAGTAACATATTTTTCACTCTCTATAAAAGGGCCCTGAATAAAACAACAAACAGATCTTCTAAACTGAAATTTAGCTTTTTCTCATTTTCTATCATGATATATTCAGAAATAAAAACATGCTAAAAAGAATTTCCCCCTAAAACTTCTAGCAGTACAATAGACTTCTTCCTACTTGGTTACAAAATAAAACCAGATTCCCAAGAGTACACTGCTGAAAACAGGAATCAAATGATATTTAATACACTGCCCTAAGAAAGTCAGTTTTATTGCCCTTGACCTGTAAACTATGTTGGCACAATTTCCATACAACAGTAAGATGCCAGGTCTCAAAATCCCATAACGTGTGCAGAATTAAAATCTAATAATTTCATGGAAAATTATCATGTTAGCTGAAAAAATTCTAAAGAAAAAACACACTGTGATTACAACAGTGTAAAGTACATATACACATAAAAGTACGGGATACATAAAAAATTATTCTTGTGTTCAAGTGATAAAATTATTTCTATAACACTGTCTTTATTTTTATGTTGCTATTCCTGTTAAAATTAATTTCAAGTATGTCACAATTTATGAAGCCATAAGTATGCGCATATGAAGCAAAACTCTATTTCAGCCCCAAGGGGCTAGTGACTAGCCATGAACAACCTTATTTGGCTGCTCACTTGACCATCTGAAAGTATTCCCTGTGTGATTTCCTCCAAAATCCAATCCAGTTATGCTATAATTAGAAAATCCCCTGAACTTTGAATGTAATTTAAAATACATTTATACAAAAAGCATAGGCTACTCTTAGATCTTCATGGCCATTCCTTTATTCCTTGTTTTTTCCCCCAATTTCCTATATTTCTTGTTATTCTCTCAAGAAAAATTTTAAATGCTTACTATGTTCAAGGCCTGTCCTACAATTATATATAAGGTATTATTGCTGCCATCAAAAAATCAAAAAAATTATACATGGTGAAACCAACTGTATATAGAAACTGTAAGACACTTTCACCCTATCGGTTCAAACCATTTTATGCACAGTAAGAAGTCACGACCAGAATTAAAAGCAAAGGACTGTTCCTATAATAAATGAATTCAGCAAAGTTTCAAGATACAAAATTACTGTATACAAATCAGTAGCTCTGCTATACACCAACAATGACTAAGCTGAGAATCAAATCAAGAACTCAACCTCTTTTACAGTAGCTGCAAAAAGTAAAATAAAATATTTGGGATACCTAACCAAGGAGGTGAAAGACCTCTACAAGGAAAACTACAAAATACTGCTGGAAGACACAGATGACACAAACAAATGAAAACACATCCCATGCTCATGGAGGGGTAGAATCAATATTGTGAAAATCCCCATATTGCCAAAAGCATTCCACAAATTCAATGCAATTCCCATTAAAATACCACCATCATTCTTCACAGAACTAGAAAAAACAATCCTACAAGTTATATGGAACCAAAAAAGAGCCCACATAGCCAAAACAAGACTAAGCAAAAAGAACAAATCTCAAGGAATCACATTACCCGACTTCAGACTATATACATAGTCATAGTCACCAAAACGGCATGGTACTGGTATTAAAACAGGCACACAGATCAATGCAACAGAAAAGAGAACCCAGAAATAAATACAAATACTTACAGCCAACTGATCTTTGATAAGGCAAACAAAAACATAAAGTGGAGAAAGGACACCCTATTCAACAAATGGTGCTGGGATAACTGGCAAGCCCCATGCAGAAGAATGAAGAATGAAACTGGATCCTCATCTTTTACCTTATACAAAAACCAACTCAAGATGAACCAAAGACTTACATCTAAGACTAAAACCATAAAAATTCTAGACAATAACATTGGAAAACATAAACTACAAGTTGTGAACAATTATTCATGAGATTCATCTCTATGAATCTCAAAAATGTTTAGGCGGGACATGGTGGGGGTCATGCCCATAATCCCAAAACTTTTGGAGGCAGAAGCTGTAAGGTTGCTCGAGTTCAGGAGTTCGAGACCAGTCTTGGCAATAAAGTGAAACCCCGGCTCTACAAAAAAATACAAAACATTGGCCGGGTGTGGTGTCCCACACTTGTAATCTGAGATATCTGGTAGACTGTGCGCCCCTCTCCTCCCGCCTCGGCTCTCCCCCGACCCCCGTTGCCAGCAGGTGCCTTTTGCGCATACCTTGCCGCACCAATCCCTTAACATCTCGGGTCCTTTGTGAGCGCGCCTCTGTCTCTAGTACCTATTACGCGCGCCCGGCCCTGGACCCCCATTTTCCCGTCCTTGCCAGCAGGTGCCTTGTGCGCGTGCCTTGCCACGCCAATTCGTTAAGATTTCGAGCCCTTTGTACTCGCCTCTCCCTCCAGTACCTAGTTCGCGCCGCTCCCAATGGCTTAAATGTCCAATTTCTTTCCTCCTTTTCCCCTACCGATGATCTGGTTACTCCTTTTTGCTCCAACATTCCCCCAAAACCTTCTCAAACACTGATATTTTCCCCTCCTTCCCCACAAATCTCCCTGTCAGGCTTCTGCCCCCAAACATCTTCTCACCCCTTCACACATCGCCCAGGTCCTTTAGATTCCTACGCATCCGATTTCTCTGTCCCCTCACACCCGCTTGCTTCCCTTGCTCCCACCATGGCAGTGCCCATCTGCTCCTCCCCGCTCACTCAGGTCTGCTGCTCGGGACGTCTTTGGCGACGGCGAGGGAGATTCTTGCTGAAGAGGGGCTCCGGGGGCAGCATGGAAATCCGGGGGACCTTTCTTCTCATTGTTGGCCGTGGCCCCAAGTGTGCCCAGGTGCTGATGGAGCGCCTGGGGTGTGTGAGCCCTGCCGCCAGGGCCCGGCTGGGGTTGCGCCCGGAGCTGTCCGTGGTTCTGAAACGATGCCGGCCGAGGCGCCGGCTGCGACTGGGAGAAAGAACGCTGTCCGTAGTGCTGAAGAAGTTCCTGGGCCCGGCAGCCGTAAGACCACCAGGTAAGGAATTCTAGCGGAGCTACGCTTGCAGCAGCTGCTGATGCTCCCACAAGCAGCGATTCTCCGCGCTCAGCTCCGTCCAGCCGCCGCTCCGGCTCGTAGAAGCTGTGGCGCTGGGTGTGGACAAGGCTCTGCTGGTTCTTTTTGGTTCTATTTCTTTTTTTCTTTTGACAGAGTCCCTTTCTATTGCCGGGCTGGAGTGCAGTGGCACTACCTCAGCTCACTGTAACCTCCGCGTCCCAGGTTCAAGTGATTCTTCTGCCTCAGCCTCCCGAGTTGTTGAGACTACAGGCGTGTGCCACCACTACCAGCTAATTTTCGTATTTTTAGTAGAGACGGGGTTTCACCGTGTTGGCCAGGATGGTCTTGATAACCCTAGAGGTGGGGAGGGTTTTCCAGGAAGGCATGAGCAAAGATAGCATGAGCAAAAGCTTAGAGATATTAATAATCGTGGACTAATAATCATGGCCTTGCGCGTGTGCCTTGTCAGGCCAATCCGTTAAGACTCCGAGCCCTTTGTGCTCGCCTTTCCCTCCAGTACCTAGTGCGCGTGCCGCTCCCTACCCCGCCCCCAGTCCCCGAGTTGCATGCCAGGAAGCAGATTCAGGCTGAAATGCACACTCCAGAGCATTGGAGAAGCACCTGAGAGCAGCAGCAGGGACCACAAGGACACCCTCCTAGGTGATAGGCAGGGTCACACGGGGTCCCCAGTGAAAGCACACAGGACAGAAAAGGAACAGACTATGCAGGCAGAAAGCAACAGACACACTTTAAACTGTAGTCTCAGAAACATGAGGCACACAGGCATCATCAGAAAGAGCCTGACAGTGAGGTCTGGTTCTCTGGAAAGGACCAGCGAGGTTTTTTGGTCCGGATGAAACTGTTCTCCATTTCACAGCAGTCATCCTAAATACTCCAGGAGAGGTCTGTGATGAGGGTGGCTCACCTCTCATCTTCTACAGTCCTACAGGCAAGAACTAGAGTCCAAGACAAAGCCCATGCTGATGGCCCAGTGAGGCCAGGAAGCAGGCAGGAACATCCTCTCCAGGCCAAGGCCAGCTCCACCCAGACAAGGCCACACATCGCAGGGCGGGGTGACCGGACATGTCCAGGGAGTGGAAGTCCCCAAAGCTGGAAGCTAGCTCTGCTCATCCTGCAGCTGGCTGTCCTGCTTGGCTTGTGGCGAGTGGAGGCAAGTCCCTGCCCGCCTGGAGCCATCAGATGTACTGCTCCTCATCCCTGTCATTCAGGAGCAGAGACCACTTGTCCCCACCATCATCCACTGTAGCGCTGTGCCGGGATGGCTTGTCAGACGTCAGGGAGGACAGCGACACCTGGCTGACATAGCTGACCTGGTCCCATGGCGTGGCCCTGGGGGAGTCCCTCCGCCTGTCATCCATGCCGATGTGCACACTGACCTGGGATGCCGTCAGGGGCTTTATGCGGCCGTGCACCTGTGCCTCGTACCTCTCCAGTTCAGGCTTCTTATAGCTGGAAAGCAGGAATGCAACAGCATCTGAGCCATTCTAGATACAAGGCTCTTTTTTTTTTTTCTAACCTGGTGAAGGCCTCTCATCCATCTTTTCAGAACATTCAGTATAAAAACCTCAAGAGTTTCAAAGGAAAAGGGCATTAAACTCCCTATGGTTCCAGGAAAGCTCAACTGATTTAGAAACTTCCTAAGCAAATGCTTTATGCTGCCACTAACTTTAGTTAAATGAATGGACTCATAAATAAGTGAACATCTTGTTTAAAGGAAACAATGATAGATAATACACAGGGACCCATGTCTGCATGATGTTCACATAACAGCCCTTGAGCGGCAGAGTAAGGGCAGTCTGGCACGAGGCTGTGCAGCGGTGAACTGCCTGCTCATGGTGCTAAGTCACACGCACACACACCTGGCTCCATGTGGGCTGCCACTGCAGCATTTATCCCAGGCAAATGAATGGGGAGTGAGAGGCAAGACCCACTGTGCCTTGAGCATGCAGAGCGACAGGGCCTCCTGGGAGCCTCTCACAGATGCCCCACCTGCGGGGACTCACCACTTGAGCTGCAGGGATGAGAGCACCACAGACATGGAGGAGGCTGCCACGGCTGCTGCGCCCATCCAGGACTGCAGAACAATGCCGAAGGGCATGAAGACACCTGGGAAAGAAAGAACTCACACTCACACCTAGGCCTGGGAGAGGAGCCAGGAGAGGGCCTCCAGCACCAGGCTAGCCCCACCCTCAGTGGCCCCCTTGGAGGTCTCCTCCTGGCATGCTTGGAAGCCCCTGCTGATGGGTCTTGCCTACAGGCCCCCCGAAGCGAGGCTTCCTAGAAAGATGGATGTGGGGTGCTATCAAGTGGGCCTGACTCTCTTCTACTCGCCCTGATGTTCCAAGAACCACCCACAGATGGCATCTCATTTCAGGGTCAGCTCCAGGGGAGTGGCAAAGCACAGGGAGTGGGAGGGGTGAGCACAGGGGGAGGAGAAAAGTGGCAGGAGGTGAGGGAGCCAGCAGCCCATCCTGCAGCCACAGTCCTACAGAGGATAATCACGGCTGATGGCCACAGCCCTTGTCTAGCAGATGATGTTGACTCCAGGGCTTCATAACATCTTTAAGAGAGGAATGAGAGCTGGGTCCCAGGACAGGGTCAGGAGACAGGTATGGTCAATTTTGCATGGCAGAGGCACACACACTGGGGGGAATGAAGCTCCTGAGCTGGCTCTAGAGACAGGAAATAAACCTGTCTGACTGACTCACTGGGCTCAGGAGGCCAAGGCCCTGTTATACACATCATCACTAACCACTCAGACATAAGGGAGACACAGGCAGGAATGCTGAGTTTACAAACTTGGTCTCTCCTAAGCCCATGGAGGAGCACTGCCTTGCAGAAGGGTCTGGAAGTTTTCCCTGCCATGTTCCATGGAATAGAGGGCAGGAGAGAGGCAGTTGCTTGGGAGGGGGAAGGAGGAGGAATTACAAAGCAGAAAAATGTATTTATTTTCCTTTTTTCTTTTTCTGAGAGTTTCACTCTTGCCCAGGCTAGAGCGCAGTGGTGTGATCATGGCTCACTGCCACCTCCAGCTCCTGGACGCAATACATCCTCCTGCCACAACCTCTGTACTCCCAGATGGGACTAAGTTGTATGCTACCATGCCCAGCTAATTTTAAAATGTTATGTAAAGGGAGACTATGTTGCCCAGGCGGGTCTTGAACTCCTGAGCTCAAGTGATCCTCCTGCCTTAGCCTCCCAAAGTGTTGGGATCACAGGCATGAGACAGCATGCTTGGACAAAAAGCCATTTCTTTTCATGATCATCTGTGTAAATCAGAGCGAAACCGGGCAGGATTAGTGTCCAATATAAGGTTCTGAAACACCAGCAATTGTGCCTAACATGGTCGGGTGTAGTGGCTCACACCTATAATCACAGCACTTTGCAAGGCCAAGGCTGGCAGATCATCTGAGGTCAGGAGCTCAAGCCTGGCCAACATGGTGATACCCCATCCCTACTAAAAATATAAAAATTACCTGGGCATGGTGTCACATGCCTGTAATTCCAGCTACTCGGGAGGTTGAGGCAGGAGTATTGCTTGAACTCAGGAGGTGGAGGTTGCAGTGAGCCAAGATTGTGCCACCGCACTCCAGGCTGGGTGACAAGAGTGACACTCCATCTCAAAAAAATGTTCATAGCATGTAGCAGGTGCCTCATAATTCTTACTAATGATGAATTCTCAGACTATATGTCTTAACAAATGGCTCAGAAAATATATCCAAGCATCTCCACTAGCTTTTTAGAAAGGACCAGAGTGGATGAAGGCTTTGGGTCCTCTCAGCACTTTCTCATTTACCTTTAGAGACATATAAAGCAGGGGACATAACACAACCAGCCTTTCTAAAATGCCTCTAGCCAGTCAGTGAGTAAGCCACTCACTAACCTCAGCAGGAACCCAGGAGGGAGAAGCCTTTCTGGGCACAGCTGAAGCACAGTAAGTAAGAGCTGCCTACCTGCCGCAATGGGTATCCCAACCAGGTTATAAATCAGTGCCAGGACCAGGTTGATGCTTATCCTCTGGACAGTCCTCTTGGAAAGGTGAATGCTAGCCACCACATCCAGCAAATCATTCTGAGGGAGAGGAGCATGCAGTGAAGAAGAGGTCTGCCAATTGCCCTCCCTGCTCCTGCAGCCTGGCTGCAGCTGTGCTCACTCTGATGAGGACGACACAGCTGCCTCAACGGCCACATCTGTGCTGGTACCAATGGTGATGCCCATGTCTGCCTGGGCCAAGGCCGGGGAGTCATTGACCCCATCTCCCACCATGGCCTTCACTACCTGGATAGGACTAGCATGCTTCCCCTGCACGACTGCAATCTTACTACATTTTAAAAAATGTTTTAATTGTATTTATTTATTTATTTTGAGACAGAGTCTGGCTCTGTCACCCAGGCTGAAGTGCAGTGGTGTGATCTTGGCTTACTGCATCCTCTGCCTCCTGAGTTCAAGTAATTCTTCTGTCTCAACTTCCTGACCAGCTGAGACTACAGGCGCATGCCACAACACCCAGCTAGTATTTATATTTTTGGTAGAGATGGGGTTTCTCCATATTGGCCAGGCTGATCTCGAACTCCTGATTTCAGGTGAACTACCTACCGGAGCCTCCCAAAGTGATAGAATTACAGGCTTACATTTATTTATTTCTTATTTATTTGGGCTGGAGTGTTGAGCAGTCATTCTGGCTAGAGTGCAGTGGCCCGAACTTGGCTCACTGCACCTCTGCCTCCCAGGTTCAAGCGATCCTCCTGCCTCAGTGTCAACAGTACCTGGGTATAAAGGCAAGTGCCACCTCGCCCTACTAATTTTTGTATTTTCTGCTCCCTGCCTCACCAGGTCCACAAGCAGAGAGGAGTGCAAGGCAAGGCAATTCTAGCAAAGGTGACTCCAGGCAAGGCAAGGCAATTCCAGGCAAGGCAATTCCAGGTAATGCAAGGCAAGGCAAGGGAAAAAATTTCTGGTCAAGGAAATTCCAGGCAAGGCAATGCCAGGCAAGGCAAGGCAAGGCAATCCCAGGCAAGGCAATTGCAGGAAAGGCAATTGCAGGCAAGGCAAGGCAAGACAAGGCAGGGAAAGGAAATTCAAGGCAAGGCAATTGCAGGTAAGGCAAGGCAAGGTAATTCCAGGGAAGGTAACTCCAGGCAAGGCAAGGCAAGGCAATTCCAGGCAAGGCAAGACAAGGCACAGCAAGGCAAGGCAATTCAAGGCAAGGCAATTGCAGGCAAGGCAAGGCAAGACAAGGCAGGGAAAGGAAATTCAAGGCAAGGCAATTGCAGGTAAGGCAAGGCAAGGTAATTCCAGGGAAGGTAACTCCAGGCAAGGCAAGGCAAGGCAATTCCAGGCAAGGCAAGACAAGGCACAGCAAGGCAAGGCAATTCAAGGCAAGAAAATTCCAGTCAAGCAAGACAAGACAAGGTAATTCCAGGCAAGGCAATGCCAGGCAAAGCAAGGCAAGGCAATCCCAGGCAAGGC